AGTTTAGTTGGGCGCAGTTTAGTTGGGCGCGGTTTTGTCGTTCGCCCTTTTGTCGGTGAACCATCTTGACCAGCTCTACATTTTAAATAGACCTCCCTTTCCTCTCAACACAATTTTTGTCATGAACAATGCACAAGGATGCCTTATCAATGATGTGGTTGACAGTGCTGAGAAGGACTAAGTTCTGCACTATTCCTATTGGCTGCCTGGGAGCTGTAGCGACACCTTTCCCCCTCCAGTCCCTTGCCAATGTCTCCAGGATAATTCTGATTTTGACAAGAATGTTTACATTGGTCTCTGTTCTTTTTTCAACAGAACCTAGGCTGATCCCCAATTAAGAGACAGTCCAAACAGCAGCTGTTTTCTAGCAGGAGGACAAGGTTCAGGGGAGGGGACCCTGCAGAACAAAGGGTGAGAGAGATAGTTACAATGGTGATGAACATGTGGCTGAAGATTAGCATGTTGCATTTTTGGAATTGATTTCTGAATAAGAAAACTTCTGTAAATCGAAACCAAAGAATCCCTGCATGCAACACAGATAGTTCTCTCTCTGTTGTCCCAGGTGCCAGCCCACCTCCATGTCTGTGATATGAAAAATGCTACTTATATTTACTTCCCAGGCCACTGTTCCTAGGCCAATCCTATCCATGACAAGGTCTCTGATCAGCCTGTAGGGTCACTGTAAAGGAGCACCGACCATCTCTTCCTACTTCTATATTCTCTCTTACTTTATCAGGCAGCTTCTGCCATCTTTTACATCAAAGACAGGAACGGAGAAAGACCCACCTTCTCTGTACATTTCCCATGATACCAACTTGATCCCATTCATTGTGGAATGGCTCCACATTTGCATGTATAAGGAACATTTCTCTGTTCTAGCCTCTGGTGAACAACAACAGTGTCCCACTGAGAATAGAACCGTGACCTCTCCCACCAGAAAAAATATTGGCTTTTCAAAGGGCATGAAAAAGAAAGTCAGTTGTATAAACAATTGGCTTGTTTAGACTGCATATTTAGCCAAAGAACAAATGTAGTTTGTTGTTTGATTTAGACTTTTCAGAAAAGATACCTGGAAAGGCTAGCGGTCCCAGCCCTCTTTCACTTCCCAATCCAATCCAGCAGTGCCCATGAATCTCCTTTCATGAATAAGCTTCAATATATATCACAAATTTAGGACTATCATTTTCTGAGCAACATGTACAAATAGAAAAGCTGAGTGAGTTCACCTGGCGGTCAGAGGCAGATGGGTTGGAAGAACTGCAATGGTGGTTGACCCGGGCAATGAAGCTCAAGGCCTCTGCAGGGCTCAGATGGGAGATCAAGGTTGAATGTTGTGCAAAACAAACGAGTTGATCTGGAAGGCTGGGAAGAAAGCAAAGACCAACCACTGCTTCAGATTTATCCGAGACTCGTATCTTTGAAGATTTGGGTTAACTCTAGGCAGCTGCTAGGTGCTTCTTGAATTGATGCTCTGCAATAGCTACCGCTTGATGTACATGTCCTATTTTTCATGGATGCCTTTGATGGTGGCTCTGTGGTGATGCATGCATGTGGAAGGAGGGCACTCCTAGCAAAAGGCCCTGTTCGCCTTCGGTAGAGGGCTAATAGACAGGTGCTAAAGGTTAAGGAAAGCTTCCTTTGAGTTGGGCTTAATTCCTGATGACCTCATGGATCCATTTATGTAGGGGTTTGGGGGGTAACAATATAGATTTGCTGTATATAAAGTTAATACAGTTTGCCTTCTTTTTTTTCAGTATACATATTCTAGACTGGTTCTTCATCCAAGTATTGATCGGATATGAGACTGTTTAGCTTTTTCAGGCTCAAGCAAGATTAACTAACTAGTGTTTCACATTACGATTTGCTTCATACAGTGGCTGTTTCAGGCTGAAATGAAGCTTTCCCGAAGAGCTACTGTAAGATAGATAGGGTTAGTTTGGATCCCCAACTCTGTTTTCCCTCCCCATTCTATGCATTCACTCCACAGAATTGGAAATTTCCGTTTCCACAAAATGAAAATGTTTTTTTACAACTACATAATTGTGCAGATTTTCTTACTATGTAATGGAAATTTCACACATGTATTTTTGAAATATTAGCATTCAAATACTTTTCCTTGAATTTCTTAATGGTTATCTGGAAAAGCAGCTTCAACAATTCTGTGTCTTATTTAAAGCTACAAAATATTTGCTTATCCGGGAAGCTCCCATCCCCTAAATGTTATAGTTAATATATTAAAATATATTAATCACATCAGAAAGACATTTCAACTCACCTGTCAAGATTGAAATCCGAATCAACAGTAAATAATGCTGTAGCATACATTTCTGCCAAATCTTTACGGATTTTATTTCTATTGATCAGCTCCAGGTTGTCTCGGTTAAAAGCAAGATCTTGAAACTAAGAAAATACAAATTGTGTAAGGACTTTCCAGTATGAGGGATCAACCAGCAAATTTTATATCAGAATAGAGCTGGATGGGACCTTGTAGGCTTCTAGTCCAGCCCGCTGCTCAAGCAGGAGACCTTGGCGTATCCCATTTCAGACAAGTGACTGCCTAGCCTCTTCTTTAAAATCTCCAGTGAAGGAGAAACCACAACTTCTGAAGGCAAGCTCTTCCACTGGTTAATTGTCCTTACTATTAGGATGTTTCTCCTTAATTCCAGGTTGCTTCTCTCCTTGATTAATTTTCATCCATTGTTTCTTGTCCTGCCCTCTGATGCTTTGGAAAATAAATTGACCCTCTCCTCTTTGTGGCAGACTCTGAAATACTGGAATACTGCTATCATGCCCCCCTAGTCCTTTTTTACTTTAGACTAGCCAAACCAAAATCCTGTAACCGTTCTTCATATGTTTTAGTCTCCAGGCCATCAACATGACTGACAACTGCAATAGCTCAGTTCTCACATCATGTTAAAATCAGTTAAATCATGATGAAATTCTACAAGCAAACATCGTACTTGTACCATCAGTCAGCTGAACACCCAATCCTCACAGTACTGTCTTATGTCTAGGTATATTCACCCATCTTGTAAGGTTGTTTTATTATTATTATTATCCTTCTCATCTTCCTTACTACCCATTCTTCTTGGTATATTACCATTATTATTATTCTGTTGCTTCACATGTACATTGAGAGCTTCTACACCAGACACAAATTCCTTGTGTATCTAATCACACTTGGCCAAATAAAACCTGTTCTGTTTTATTCTATTCTAATTCCTACTCTATTCTTCTGTTCTGGTCTTCAAGGTGGGGCATGGGAGGAGTCACTGTGTGGGTATTGTTACGGCCCAATTGCCTGGAGACTGAGGAAATCTGAGGTCACACCCCCTGTTCCTCCTGGAGACTCCCCAGATTAACCTCAGCCTTCAGCCTAACAGGAGCTATTCAGTGACTCTCCAGTGAATAGTGTTAGTTAGGATATTTTTGTAGACTTTTTCTCCCTTTTGCAGTATCCACAGGATTTTCCTACAGCCTTATTTTACTTTTAGAAAATTTTTCCATCTCTCCTACCTCCCGGTGAAGGGGTGTGTGTGCAAGAAGCCAGGCCTGGCAGCAGCTGCCCTCCAGAGGTGAAGAGGAAGCCATCGGAGCTACAAAGACTCCGAGGGCAGCAAGAGGAGGAA